CACTGTGCAGTACTGGCAGTACATGAGCCATCAGAGAAGTGGACAAGGCAAGAAATGAAGCACTCAACTTAAGAGAAATGAGGTACTGGACCTCTGAGTAACCTGCAAATCAGTGACTCTAAGCTCAACTTCAGGCCTGTGAAGAGGGTGAGAAGGTTGAAAGGTAAGACCTGCGAATGAGGTCTCATCTCAGAACCTGGCAGTGCGATAGTGGCGCAGTGGCGACAAACGCCGATAAACGTTGAATCAGCAGAATCAAATCCCATCAGAACAATCACTCTATTCCTAGTTCATTGGAATGACCTTATGAGTCACCTCATGGTATCTTGAATGTGGAGGTTCATTGACGTGAACAACAGCAGTCCTAGCAAGTCATTGTATCGATGAACTACACATACAAATGTTTCTAAAAGCCCAGTGGACGTTGCATTGATGGCCCATTCCGATGGGATCAACCGTTGCCAGTCATTTCACAAAATGCTCGCAGTTTACGCATATTCTTGACCTACCTAAATGATGTAGTTCACTGAGAACTTGAAAGGGCTAAAACACCAAATCACCAAAAGCGGTTACATAGACGGTAGATAACCCTTCTTTTTTCAGGGGGCTTTACATAACGATCAACGACAATACTATCAGTAGGATCTATCAGATCCTCTCGAACTGGCCAACAACAAACGTTAGGGTAAGTTACCAATTAAGAGGTCTGCTCTGAAAGTCTCTAGACATACTCTATTCAGGCAATTGTGGTGACAGATGGCGAACGAATTTTGGGACTTGGTGATCTCGGCACTTACGGCATGGGTATCCCGATCGGTAAACTTGCGCTTTACGTGGCACTTGGTGGTGTTCGTCCTGAATGGTGTCTGCCAATTTTGATCGATGTCGGCACCAACAATGAGGTTTCCCTATTCCATTCTTTGATTAAACACGCATCTGTTCATTTGAGGTATCCCTTTTCAGAAACTCCTCAAGGATCCGTTCTACACAGGTCTGCGAAGAAAGCGCGTGCGTGGACAGGCATACGATAACTTGCTGGATTACTTCATGATAGCTTGCACCAAACGGTATAGCTTTCATCATAGTGTATCAAAAGAGTCCATTGCAAAGTAGTTTTTCAACGGCATAGATCAGGCCAGGATGAAAATCGGTCGAAAGATTTATCGACGACCCGTCGAGAGATTTTCACGACTATCACGCTTTCCTGCTCTCATCTCGCGCCACTCGACACACACAGTAACAGAGCCATGGTCGAGATTGCCTCAACCGTTATTCACCCTGGTACAGGCCAATTGGGGTGGGCCATTTACCAGGTCAGCTATTCAGTGACTAACAGATCCGCCCTGAATCCTACCAATCCTACCCTCCCTAGGTAAAGTTCTGTTTCGATTTTCAGCTAAGCATAAACGCGTTCCATAAGCGAAGTGTAGGGATGCACGTGACCGCGGTCGGAGAAAAAGCGGCAGCATTAAGCTGCTACCGATTTTTGACAAAAAAAAAACGAGAAACTGAATGTGCATAATTTTATGAGGACAGGAAATAAAATAGGGCAATTCGAACAGGGTCAACCGTCACGTTCGAACATTTTCAGGGTTTTTGCGACCCCCTTTTCTCAAGGGGGTCACCCCCTTATCTCAAGGGGGTCCAGTTGCGACCCCCTCTTAGGTAATGGAAGTGCCGAATGTGCTGACTAAATGTTAAGTGAAATATTTATTTCACTCATTTTACTTCAAAGACAGTGAACTAAAACCTTTTAAAGACAATGAACTTCCATGACATAGAACAAAACATTTGAATATTGAATTCTTCACTGGCATTTGAATTGAATTCTTTTCAAAAAATCATTGAATTTTTTTCAAAAATTCAATGATTTTTTGAAAAAAATTCAATTCAAATGTTCAGTAAAGAATTCAATATTCAAATGTTGTGTTCGTAAGTTCGTAAGTTCATTGTTTTCAAATGGACAATGAACTTCCATGAAATATGAACAGAACATTTGAATATTGAGATCTTCACTGAAATTTGAATTGAATTGTTTTCAAAAAATCATTGAATTTCTGAAAAAAATTCAATATTTTTTTCATGTTGCCCAAAACTTCAAACTTCATGCTTCCGAAAGAATCACAAGAGCAGTTCAAGGGAGTAAATCAAAGAGAGTTACGTTCTCCATCAATGCATCTCCTAAGATGAGCCCCAAAGGAGCAAGAATCACAGGGCACTGGCTAATGAAAGCTATTTTTTATGGTTAGCCTCGCGAGATCAAAATTTTTGTTCGCTCACAATCACGCCAAAATGAGGATGAAAGCGAAATGTGTAAGACCAAATGGAGGGATATCCAACAAGTAACATGAAGACTGACGAACTTCTGCTCAAACAGCTGAAAAAAGAGGAAGGATTAAAGAAGAGTAGGACTGACATGATTGCGTCAGAAACCGCCGCAGAAAGCGTTTGCGTTGCGGCGTCAACCTTGGAGCGCGGCAGGTATCACCCGGACGCTGGAAAACTGGGACGCGGCGAAGAAAAAGTTTTAGGAGAGTGTAACTTTCTTGAGACGTATTTGTTTCACTTATTGAGGTAGGTTTAAACTGTGCCTGAGGTGGCTTTACAGAAAATTGCAAGGATGACCTAACTCTCCCAAAAGTATTTCTGTCAGAAGCGGAAAACCCAAAATTCTGAGAAGGCGCACCTCCAACTTTGAGAGCTCATAAAATCTTTCGTATGCGACATCTTGGAAATTTGTGAAAAGTTTTAGAAACTTCAAATATTTCTCTAACAAAAGATTATAAAAAGTTAAGTGATTGTCCCCTTTTTCAAAAATTTGCCCCGTTCGAACAGTTCCCGTGCAAAACCGAGTTTTTAAGCTTTCAGCGACTATAACTCACTTCATTTTGATTGCTGTGTTTCCCTCTTTCCATGGGGTGAAAGAGCAGGTTTTGCTCTTTCTAATAAGCCCTAAACCATTTTTCAAAGTTCATTTTTCGAGAAAATCCCACGTTCGAACATTTCGGGCGGTTTTGCCGAACACATTCTTTGAAATCGCGAGTTTTTGGGCTTTCAACGAGCATAACTCGCTTCATTTTGATTGCTGCGTTTCCCTCTTTCCATGGGGTGAAAGAGCAGAATTTGCTCTTTCTAACAAGCCCTAAACCATTTTTCAAAGTTCATTTTTCGAGAAAATCCCACGTTCGAACATTTGGATCCCATAGGTTTTTGAGCAGCACATGCGAGGTTTCGAGCTTTCAGCAATAATAACTTCCTTCAAAGAGCATGTTGGAAAGAGGCGAAGACATTTTTGAAGACCGCGAGGTTTCTTCTTTCTTATGTGTTTCACGATTTTGTGGAAGAACCGTCCGTAGAAAAGTAGGTTCCCGAAGAAGTTCAATTTCAGCCACAAGAAGTCAAACTTTTCATGGAGATGCATTCAACTGTTCTCTATTCCTCAAGGAAAACACCGTAATTTGCCCAAAACTGTCTCTCTGTGCATAATTAATCGAATCTAATGCGGTCTGCACAAACAATTCTTGCCCTCGGATACGCCACGCACGCGCCTGTGGCTGCAGTCCTCGAAATTGCGACCCCCTTCCGACCAAAATGCGACCCCTTCGTTCGAACAGTTCGAACGGACGGTTGACCCTGTGGAAGTGATGATAGGCCCTCCCATAACATTCGGTCCGTTTAACCCATAACGACGCTTGCGCCACCATGTGGCGCACGCCGCCACCCAGGGTAGGGTTTATTTAGGCTTATGTGAACATTAGGGTTAAGACGGGGCTAAAGAAGGTGTCGTGTCTCATCATCCGAAAAAAGAGATTTCCGTTGACGACAACCAAGATGAATTGATGATTGTGGTGGGAGTCCTATCGAAACCCCCTGAGGAGAATGGGGGCTACAAATATCCTGGAAAGGTCCGTACACGACGGTTGACCATGATCCACTCAGTCTCGAGGGCAAATGCACGCAAAAGGCACAACGGGTCAACAGTAGGAGCGAGGGGAACGGAAGAATAGTTCTTTCAGCGCGGAGTAAGCGCAAAAGCAACAAGACGGGAAAATGCCGAGAGGCCGCAATCTCGATCAATTTCCACTAAACGGAAACTTTCTTTGACAAAATCCAATCTCCCGTTGCAGATTCGGACGAAATGTCCTGATTCAATATGAGGACTTTGGTAATTTGAACGCATATCGTTTGCTGGACAAATATAAGCACGTGTACAACATGTTCAACGATGACATACAAGGTGGGTATCTAATCAAGCTGTCCATTTGATCCGTTGTGGAGAATATTTTCACAGGAACCGCTGCTGTCGTCGTTGCTGGTCTGCTGACGACGACAAGAGTTACGAAGATGAAGCTATGCGAGTATACAATATTATTCTTTGGTGCTGGAGGAGTAAGTTTCATATCGGAGTTTGTCAAGAATTCCAAACTCATAGAGGTTGCTAAACGAAGGAGCTCTTTATTAAGTATCAGAGCTACAGGTGAATTGCTATGGACTGCTCAAAGGCAGATTCTCTGATTAGTCCTGCAGAAATTGGAAGTAGTGGAGGGATGAATGTGTGCTAAAAGAGGCGCGATCTGTTGCCAATGACCCAAAGAAGGCAGTTTAGAACGCGCTATCAGACCCACAACGGCGGTAAGCCCACCTCACATGGCAGCCCCGTCTCTGCTTGTGCTAACCTTCATCTCCATCACCTCTCGTACTCTCATTGTCAGAGTTTTCATACCGCCACTCCTGTCTTCTGTGCCGATCTTAAATAGACCA